TGCTGACAGTCTTGCAATTGTAACCTCCTAGTTACTGACATATCTTCTAGTGAAAAAAGAATATCCTTCACCCTGTCAAAATTGTTCACTGCCTTGAACATGTCAATAACGTGATCTCTTAATCTTCTCTGCTCCAAAGAGAATAAACTCAATTTGTCTAATTTTTCCTTGTACCTAAAATCCCTCATCCCTTGTGTCATTTTAGTAAATCTCCTTTACACTTTCTCCAGGGCTTTAACACCCTTTCTTAAATAAGGTGCAGAGAACTGAGCACATTACTGTAGAGGTGGTCTGACCAATGATTTGTAAAGGTGTAGCATCACTTCCTTGCTTTTATACTCTATGCCTGTTTATTAACCCAAGTATCATATAAGCCTTCTGAACAACTGTATCAAATTGCCCGGCCACCTTCAGAGGATCATGCAAGTGAACCCTGAGGTCCCTCTGCTCCTATATTCCCCTCAAAATTCTACCATTATGCCTCTATTGTCTCTTCATGTTTCTTTTACTAAAATGCATTACCTCACATTTCTCCACATTGAAGTTCATCTGCCAGGTGCTTGCCCATTTGGCCAATTGTCAATGTCCCTCTGAAGTCACACGGTAATTTCCTCACAATTTGTTATTCTCCATTGCTTAGTATCATCGGCAAATTTAGAGATATTGCCCTCAACACCCATCTCCAAATAATTTATATGATTCAGAAAAGGCAAGAATCTCTGCGAAACACCACTTTCAACTCATCTCCCGTCTGAGAAATGCTAATCTATTCCTATCCTCTGTTTCCAAACTTTTAACCAACTCCTACTTCATGTTGACAAGGATCCAACAATCCTACACATTTCTAACTTGCTAACCAAACTGTCATGTGGCACCATACCAAAGGCTTTCTGAAAATCCAAAAACACAATGTCCACAGCACTACCCTGATCCACAGCAATGTCACTTTGTCAAAGAACTCAATTAACTTTGTCAGACATTACCTGCCCTTGACAAAGCCACATTGAGTGTCTGGTATTAACTTATTTTTCTCTAAGTGTATATTTACCATTTGCCATAATTACGATATATTGGTAGCATTGTGGACAGTGAAGAAGATTATCTAAGATTACAAAGAGATCTTGATCAATTGGGTCAATAGGCTGAAGCGTGGCAGATGGAGTTTAATTTGGATAAATGCGAGCATTGCATTTTGGTAAAACAAACAAAGGCAAGACTTATACAATCAAAGATGGGGTATTTTGGGTAGTGTTGTACAACAGAGACCTAGGGGTTCAGGTACATAATTCTTTGAAGTTTGCATCACATATAAAGTAGTTAAGAAGGCATTTAGTGTGCTTGCCTACATTGCTCCGACCTTTGAGTATAGGAGTTGGGAACTGTATTGAGGTTCAATGGGACGTTGGTGAAGCCTCTTCTGGGGTACTGTGTCCAGTTCTGGTCTCCCTGTTATAGGAAGGATATTATCAAGCTGTAGAGGATTATGAGGAGATTTACCAGGATGTTGTGGGAATGGAGGGTTTGAGGCATAAAGTGAGACTGGATAACTGCACCTCCCAGTCGCGAACCATTTCAACTCCTCCTCCCATTCCTCAGACGATATGTCCATCCTGGGCCTCCTGCGATGCTACCTGAAGGTTGCAGGAACAGCAACTCATATTCCGCTTGGGAACCCTGCAGCCCAATGGTATCAATGTGGACTTCACAAGCTTCAAAATCTCCCCTCCCCCTACCGCATCCCAAAACAGCCCAGTTCGTCCCCGCCTCCCTAACCTGTCCTTCCTCGCACCTATCCCCTCCTCCCATCCCAAGCCCCACCCCCATCTCCTACCTACTAACCTCATTCCGCCCCCTTGACCTGTCCGTCCTCCCTGGACTGACCTATCCCCTCCCTACCTCCCCACCTACACTCACCTCTACTGGCTCCATCCCCGCCTCTTTGATCTGTCTGTCTCCTCTCCACCTATCTTCTCCTCTATCCATCTTCTATCCGCCTCCCCCTCTCTCCCTATTTATTTCAGAACCCCCTTCCCCTCCCCCATTTCTGATGAAGGGTCTAGGCCCGAAACGTCAGCCTTCCTGTTCCTCTGATGCTGCTTGGCCTGCTGTGTTCATCCAGCTCTACACCTTGTTATCTCAGACTGGATAGGCTGTTTTTTTTACATAGGTCAAGAGGTGACCTTATAGAGGTTTATAAAATTGTGAGGGGTATACATAAGTTGAATGGCAGGTGTCTTTTCCCAAAGACAAGGGGCATATTTTAAAATGAAAGGAGACAGAGTTAATAAAGACATGAGGGGCAATTTTTTTACACAGAGTGAATTGTGTGTGGAATGAACTTCCAGAGGAAGTGGTGGATGTACATACAGTTACAATGTTTAAAAGACATTTAAGTAAGTCCATGCATAAGAAATGATTGGAGGGATATGGGCCAAGCACAGGTGGGTGGGATAAATTTATTTTGGGGTTATGGTCAGCAGGGACTGGTTGGACTGAAGAGTCTATTTCTATGCTATCTGATTCTATATGGCCTTCATCAGTTTTCCCATCAAGCTGACTGGTCTGTAGTTTCCTGGGCTATCCTTTCTCCTTTTCTGAAAGAACGGTGTCACATTTGCAATCCTCCATTCCTCTAGGACTACTCTTGTGTTCAGAAGGGCCTGGAAAATTTCTGTCAATGACTTCATAATTTGCTCCCTTATCTCTCTCAGCAATTTTGGATGCATCCCAACCAGGTCTGGACTGCAACTGGCCTCTTTAGCACCTCTTCTTTATCTATGACTGTACTGCTCAGTTGCTCAACACCCACATTTTCAACTGGACCGTTGTCACTATCTTCTAAACAGAAACAAAGTACTCATTTAGTGCCTCTGCCATTCTCTTTGCTCCAGTGAGCAGTTTACTCTTCTTGTTCCTTATGGGCTCCAGTCATAGCGATAAAGGATCATGCATTGTTTAAGTAGAATGGTCTTCAAATATATTGATCATTTCAATGTAACAATAGCGCCAGTCTTTTGAGAATCTTCTTTGCTCATCTTCCTCTGTCACTGAGAGAGACACCGCTTCCAACTCAGTACTGATTTCTTTCTGGACATGAGAGACCCGTTCCATTGTGTGTGTGAAAACAAGCTGAGGAGGCCAAATGGTCAGATATTGTGATAAAGAAGCAACAGGATTGATGGGAATGCCATTTGTATATTTATTCATGCAACATCTGGAGACAGTATTGAGAAGGAGCAATGAACATCTGTTTTCAGATAGTGGCTATGAGCCCTGAGTCCTTGTGCGTGGGATAAAGACAGCGACCTTATTTTTAACCAACAAAAATGGTTAACACAAGCCACATCCAAATATGACACAGAGATACTCTGAATTAACGATCAATATTGAACGTTCACAAGATTGTGGGCACACTCATTATCGTCATTTCTGGAATGACAGCTCACCCGAGACACAGTTCAAATAAGGGAAAGAACAAACACTGGCTGTGTTGTCAGCTCAGAGGACCTGTGGTCACCTGTGGTTTCAGAATAAATTCTACTTTCCAGCACTCTTCCTGATAGTCTCCATCACTTCATTCCATGGGATCGGTCAGCTCAGTGAGAACTGTCACGATTGTAAATTGGGGATACAAGTTAAATTGATTACAGATACCAGTGGTGCAAAATCTTAATCAGCTCCATATTCTGACAGACTGCTGAGGGAATGCTGTCCTGTTAGAAAATACCATATTTCAGGAGGGTTAAACTACAGCCCCAACTGCTCTCTCAGGAGAATATAAAAATAATCCCATGATACAAAAGCAGGGGTGTTATCCCTGACATCCTGGACAACATGGATCCCTCAATCAATGTCCTCAAACAAATTATCTGGAAATTATTGCATTACTGTGTGTGAGAGCGTGCTGTAAATTGGCTGTTTCCGACATTACAACAGGAATTACACTTCTAAAAGCACTTTGTTGGGTGTGAGTGCTTTCTGATGCATTGAGATTATGAAAATAGATATATAAATGCAAGTTTTTTTCTTTCTGACTGAAACGTTCTGCTTCTTGTGAACTGGAAAATATAAACCCATTGCTGGAGCAAGATTCCCAGGATGGTGTTTCTGTTCTTCAGGACGACAATGACATTCATGAATGCTGGAGAGAACATTTTGAACAACTCCTCAACCATAAATTCACAGGGACAACTGATACCCTCCAAATCTATCCCCCAGTGCCTTATGGTAACATCCAGGGGTGAGTCACCATCAATGGGAGAGCTGCAACAAGCAATCAACAGATGAGAAACAACAAATCCTGCGACACTGATAGAATTCCAGCTGACGGCTACAAAGTTGGTGGAACTTTGCTCACATCAGGACTGCATGAACTCATTCTAAGCATTTGGGAATAAAAATAACTCCCGAGACTTCAAGAATGTGACACCCGCAGCTGTCTTAGAGCAGGAAGATAAATCAAGCTGCACAAACTATTGAGGTATTCCCTTTTGTCCAGAGCGAGAAATTCCTGACACACATCCTCCTGAATGACCTACTTCTTGTGGCTGATGAATTCCTCCAGAGATACAGTGGCATTCATGCAGGAGATTCTGCACATATCAGTGTCTTCATTTAGTGATGTTTGATGATCTGAGCAAAGGTTAAATTGATCTGCTGGAACCAGTTGGACTGATGGTGAGAGAGGTTTGAGGCAGACACTGCTGAGAGACACAGTTCTTGAGAATGAACAACACAGACAGCTCTCAGTGCAGTGGAAGTAGGTGACAGGCTCCAAGACAGTGTGGAGATATCAGTGTCTGGTGAGAGAGGAGGAGGAGGTGAATCGTGTCTCACTGGAGAGGTTTGTTTCCTGTGTGAGTTCATTGATGTTCTAGGAGCACCAAAATGTGTGAAGACTTTATTCCGGAACTCAAAGTTTTTCCAGCGTATGAGCGCCTTGACGGGCCAGGAGAAATGCTGACTATGTGAGAATCTTGTCACACAGCTCACACCTGAACAGTTTCTCCAGTGTGTCTGCGTTGGTGCACACGGAGAGTCGAGGACCGCGAAAAGGATTTGCAGCACACTTTGCAGGTGAATGGTTTCTCCCCAGTATGAGTGCGTTGGTGGACACGGAAGTGAGATGCGTGTGAGAACAATTTGTCACACACCTTGCACTTGAACGGCTTCTCCCCGGTGTGAATGCGTGCGTGTTCGCGCAGGATGGACGACCGAGAAAACGACTTGTCACACACATTGCACGTGAACGGCTTCTCCCCCGTGTGGGAGCGCCGGTGACTCACGAGCCGTGATAATTGGGCAAAGCGCTCGTTGCACACCTCACATGCGAACGGCCTCTCCCCGGTATGGGTGCGCCGGTGGTTCGCAAGTGTCGACGAGTGCGCGAAGGCTTGGGAGCAGACCTCGCACTTGAACGGTTTCTCGCCGGTGTGCACTCGCTGGTGTGTCAGGAGAGCAGAGGTGTGGCTAAATGCTTTGTCACACACATTGCACGTGAAGGGCTTCTCCTCTGTGTGAACGCGTTGGTGCATCAGGAGCACGGACGAATTTGTGAAGCTTCTGTCACACACCTTGCAACTGAACGGCTTCTCCTCAGCGTGAACGCGCTGGTGCACACGGAAGTGTGACGGGTGCGAGAAGGATTTGTCACACACCTCACAGGTGAATGGTTTCTCCCCTGTGTGAAGGCGCTGGTGTGCCCGGAGGGATGACAACTGTGAGAATGACTTTGTACACACCTCGCACATGAACGGTTTCTCCCCTGTGTGAAGGCGCCGGTGATCCGCCAGGGCTGAGGACTGGGCGAAGCTTTTACCGCACATCTCACATTCGAACGGCTTCTCCCCGGTGTGAATGCGTCGGTGCTGCGTGAGATTTGTCGGCCATGTGAATGCTTGGTTGCACACCTCGCACTGGAACGGCTTCTCCCCTGTGTGAATGCGCCGGTGATTCATGAGCGTCGAAAACCGTGTGAAGGCTCTGCCACACGCCTCGCACTTGAATGACTTCCCTTCCATGTAGCTGCCCTTGTGCAAATAGCTCTACACCAGATACACTTTGTGTATTAGGAGAAGCTATGAACCTGGGGAGACCTTGTCACACACTTGAACAGCCTTTCGTCTGCAGGAATGAGTCAGTGGTTCATGAGACTTGATGAATGACTGAAGCTCTCATCACACTTGGAGCCACTCACACTTCTTCCCAGCCTCATCCTGACCAATCACCCACAGCCGAACCTTCAGAAAGGTTGGTTCGGATGGAAGGCTCCACACCACTGACCAGTTTCAGATCTGATGATATCTCAAAGCTTCCCTGACCTGACTGATTTCCAGATGATGGTTTCACTACCCAACTTGCTCTGTGGTGAGCAAAGCTGCAAAGGGATTGGATGTCTTTCCAAAGTTATGCAGTTGTTCCTTGAGTGATGGTCAGGATCTATCTGCGGTGTCTATCCTCTCTGTAATTTCTGGTCTGGTACGGTCCAATTCTTCTGTAAAACAGGAAAAGGAAACATGATTTCTTCCAACTCTCTCTCCTCCTTTGCTGAAGGGGCTGACTCCACAGTGGGTGCCAGCCGGCTATTCCCCTGTCTGTGTAGGGGGGAAACCAGATATAATTTCTTCCTTTTCCCTCACTTGACTGTCACACATCTGTTTCCAGCAGGGACACTGGATGGTGACAAAGAGCAGACAATGTGGATTTTTTTCCTTCACCCAGGCGCCATCTTCACAAACATGAGGGCAATGGGAAAGACAGTTGCATAGAGAGTAAAATAGGCTCCTCATTTCTTATAAGCTTGTATCGTGTTGGTGTGGACCAGTTTTAGAATATATTTACTGCATAAAAGAAATTCAAAGCAAATAGAAATTTTGAAACATCTCCCCTTGTTTTCCAAAATGATTTGAAGAAAATACGCTGAGCAAGAAGTGCCAGAAGTTGAGGTAAATATTGCTTCAGTGCAGCTTATTGTAGGATTCTGGTTTATCCTGGGAAATTAGATACTCTGCACTCACTCAGACTGTACATCCCAAATTCAGCTATCAGTCACAACACTGGGCAAAACTGTCAAGTCCAAGTACAGTCTTTTGGGAAAGGTCAACACCTTCAGGTGAGTCTTTAAAAACAGCGTTAAAAGACATTTCAATGCCTGTGACTCTAGGCATGGCAATTGGATTGCTGTGGGGGGCAAGCACATGCAGAGATTTGAAAACCAGATGAGAATTTTCAATTCAAGCTGTAGCTTCAATGTGAATGAGAACAGGGATGATTGGCATAATGTAGAATTGTAGCAAACAGGATCAGGAGTAGGTGAATTTGACCCTTTGAGCCTGCAACACCATTCAATGTGATAATGGGTGATCATTCAACTCATCACCCTGTTCCCACTTTCTCCCCACACCTTTGATGGCTTCAGCCCTGCAAACTATATCTAACTCCTTCTTCAAAATGGGTCTTGGGATCAGATAGAAATTGGGCAACAAAGTGGCTCAGTGGTTAGCACTGCTGCCTCACAGCGCCAGGGACCCAGGTTCAATTCCACCCTCAGGTGACTGTCTGTCGAGTTTGCACATTCTCCCCATGTCTGTGTGGGTTTCCTCCAGGTGCTCCGGTTTCCTCCCACAGTCCAAAGATGTGCAGGGTAGGTAGGTCGGCAATATTAAATTATCTGTAGTGTCCAGGGATGTTTAGGTCAGGTGGGTTAGACATGGCGAAATGCAGAGGCAGGGGATGAGTCTTCGGAGGGGCGGTCTAGACTTGTTGGGCTGAATGGCCTGTTTCCACACTGTAGAGATTCTATTCTATGATTCTAAGAGTGTTGCAAGAGCCCAGGTTTCAAGCACAAGTTTCTGTTGGAAAAATTATGAACTGTGGAAGAAGCATGAAAGATTTCTAAGGATGGGGAATATCAGTTATTAGGACAGATTGAAGAAGCTGGACTCTTCTCCTTGCAAAAGGGAAGGTTGAGAAGAGCTATTTAAAATCATGAGGGATCCTGAGAAAGTAGACAGGGAGAAATGGTTCCTGTTGGTGAAACAATTGAAAAACAGGGGCAAAAACAGAAGTTGCTGGAAAACCTCAGCAGATCTGGCAGCATCTCTGAAGAAAAGTCAGAGTTAACATTTCGGGTCTGGTGATCCATCCTCAGAACAGGCCTGAAAGGACGGTGGAAGTTGATTTCACTCAAGGCTTCAAAGGACAAATGTAGAACAATGTGAAGTGAAAAAATAAGCAGAGCCACAGGGAAAAGGGAAGTGAGTGGAAATGGGGTGAATAGCTTCTGCAGAGAGTCAGCATTGTACGATGGCTGAATACCTCCTTCTGTTCAGAAACCATTCTATGGTTCTATGTGAGAATCAGGACAGCGCTGGAATGGTTGGGTCTTGAGCTTACAAAGACATGGATGAAGACTTTAGTAGCAGATGAGCTGTGGCACAATTCATACAGCAGAGGCCCTTCAGTCCATTGAATCTGCATGGACATAACTACCACTAAAAGTGCGCTAATCCCAATTTCCTGCACTCGTCCCGTATCCTTGAATTATATGATGTTTAAAGTGCTCATCCAAGTAAGTTTTAAAAGTGCTAACATTTCCGGCCTCCACTACCTTCCCAGGCACTGCATTCCAGAATCTCACCACTCTCTGAATGAAAAAGTTTTTTCTTCCCAAATCCCCTGTGAATCTCTTGCTGCTTAGCCTTAACTTATCCCCTCTCGTGATTGACCCCTCAATGAAGGGGAACAACTGCTCTCTATTCATCTTGTCCGTACTCCTCATAACCCTGTACATCTCAATCATGTACCCCCTCTGTCTTCACTCTCTAAAGAAAACAATCCAAGCTATGAAATCTCTCCTGATAGCTCTAATTTTCCATCTCAGGCATAATCCTGGTGAACCTCCTCTGTACCCCTCCTGTGCTATCACATCCTTCCTGTAGTGACCTGAACAGAACTGCACACAGTACTCCAGTTGTGGCTTGACCAATGCTCTGTCCAACTCCAACATTACCTCCTTGCTCTTATACTCTATGCCATGACTGATGAAAACAAATCTCTTATTTGCTTTTTTACCTGTCCTATTCACGTGCTCCGCTGACTTCAGAGAATATGTGAATAATTACCCCAAGATCCCCCTATTCCTCTAAGCTACCCAGTGTCCTGCCATTCATGAAATACTCATCTTGTTGTTTCTTCTTCCAAAGTCCATCGCCTTGTACTTTTCAGGGATAAATTCAATCTGCCACTGGTCTGCCCACCTGACCAACCCATATCTACCTCCTTGTAACCTATAACTATTTTCTTCGCTATTAACCACTCTGCTAATCTTGGTGTCTTCTGCAAACTTGCTTAACACTCCCCCGACATTTTCAGCTGGATCATTTATGTATATGACAAACAATAAGGGTCCCAGTACTGATCCCTGTGGTACACTGCTGGATATCTGCCTCCAGTCACTCAAACAGCCTTCTACCACTACCCTTTGTGTTCTATTACCAAGCCAGTTTCTTAAACATCTCACCACATTTCCCTCAATTCCATGTGCTTTAACCTTCTTAATCAGTCTCCCATGTGGGACTTTGTCAAAAGCTTTGCTAAAATTCATTTAAATCACATCAACTGAACTTCCCTCATCCACACACTTGATCATGTTTTTAAAATTTTCTAACAAATTTGTTTAGGCATAACCTCCTTCTGACAAAGCCTTGCTGACCATCTAATTAACCCATTCCTTTCTGTGCCATTCGCTCCTTCACAATTTTCTGCAATAGTTTCCCAACCACTGACGTGAGACTCACTGGTCTGTAATTTCTTGATGCATCTGTACCACCTCTCTTAATAAGTGGAACGACATTTGCCTTCCTCCAGTCCTGTGGCACTTCCCTTGTGGCCAGAGAGGAATTAGAAATGTGTGTCAGAGCCCCTGTAATTTCCTGCCTCACCTCCCAGAGTAGCCTGGGATGCAATTCATCTGAGACAGGGGAGTTATCTGACTTTAAGCCCAAAAGAGCTTCTGATACTTCCTGATTTACTATGTCAAACTGAGCAAGTTCCTTACAGTCCCTTTTCCTGAATTCCATACCTATTTTCTCCTTCTCCAGAATGAAGACTGAAGAAAACATTCATTCAACCCCCTTCCAATATACTACGGCTTCGCACAAGGGTTTCTCCCTTGATCTCTAATGGGTCCTTCACTTTCCCTGGTTAACCTCTTCCCTTTAATGTATTTATGAAATATCTTAGGATGAGCCCTAATCCTGTTCACAAGTTTTCATGTCTCCTTTTTGCTCTTCTAATGCTTTCTTAAGATCCTCTATTCCTCTAGAGCCGCAGCTGAATTTCTCCCTTTAGACTTTCTAAAAACCCTACTCTTCTTCCTTATCCAGTCTTGAATTGTCATAGACATCCTGGGTTCTCTGAACTTATTGCTCCGACATTTCACTCGAAAGGGCACATGTTGAATCTGTACTGTCTCCAGCTCATGTTTGAATTGCCCCACCCACTGCTCCGCTGTACACTTTCCCACAAGGAGCTGCTCTAAGTCAAATATTGGACTTGTACTCTCAACTCCTTCTTGAATGCCAGCCCCCAACCCCCACGCCCCATTGCTCTGCTATAGACTTCCCTGTCAACTGTGGCTATATCCTGTTTTATTTGAATAATATCTGCCTTCCCAATCCAAAGCTATCTTTTGCAAGCCATCTTTTTCCTTGTCCAGAACAAATATGAACCGTACGATATTGTGGTTGCTATTGCCTAAATGTTCCCCACTGCTACATCAAACGTTTATCTGGCTTCTTTGCCCAGAACCAAATTCAGCCCCTTGTTGGGCCTTCTGCGTACTGATACAAAATGCTCCCCTGCATACGTCTCAGCATGCGTGCCCCCCACCAAACTTTTAACACTACGACTATTCCAATTTATGTTGGGAAAGTTGAAATCCCCTTGTATAATTAAACAATTATTAATTTTACACACCTCTGTGAACTGTCTACATATTTGCTCCTCTATTTCCTACTGTCTCTTTGGGGGCCTATAATACACTCCCAGTAAAGTAGCCGCTCCCTTAACATTCCTAAATTCTAACTTCAAAGCCTCGTTTGAGGATCCTACCGAAACATCATCTCTCCTTATTGCAGTAATTGACTGCTTAATTAATAGTGCTACACCACCACCCTTTTTAAACCCTCCTCTGTTTCGCTTAAAGATCCTGTACCCTGGAATGCTGAGTTCCCAGTCTAGCCCTTCCCTCAAACCTCTGTCTGTGATGGCAGCAATATCATACTTCCACATGTCAATGCCATTAACTCACCAGTCTTATGTATTACACTCATAGCATTAAAGTAAAGCCTGTAGCATGATGTGTCTCTGTTTCATCAATATTCTGTGTCCCCTCACCCTGCCTGACTAGCTTATACTCCTCCCAACAGCATGAGCAAACCTACCTGCAAGGACGTTGGCCCCTGTGTGGTTCAGGTGCAGACTGTCCCGTTTTTACATGTCCCACCTTCTCCAAAAATGGTGCCAGTGATCGAGAAATCTAAAACTCTCCCTCTTGCACCAACTCTTGAGTCATGCATTCATCTGTCCTACTTTCCTACTTCTAAACTCACTGGCATGTGGAGTAATCCAGAGATTAGAACCATTGAGGTTAAACACAACCTCCCTCAGATAAAGCCATGTTGACTATCCCTAATTAACCCATGCCTTTCCAAGTGGATATTAATTTGCTCCTTCAGAATTTTCTCCAATAATTTCCCTACCGCTAATGTGAGATTCACCGGTGTGTAATTTCCTTGTTCATCTCGACAACCCTTCTTAAAAAGTGGAATGTGGATGTTACTAGTTTTTCCTGTGAGTGGACTGAAACCACTATAAAAGTGGATCTATGTCTGGCTCGATGGACACCACCAGAAAAAAGACATGATCTGATATGTCACATTGCTGACTGTGGCAGCTTGCTGTGAATACACTATCTGCCATGTTTCCTACAACAGTTCCACACTTCTAAAGTATTTCATTGACTGTAAAAGCTTCAGGGCATCTGTATTCATGAAAGCATCTCTATAAAACCAAGACTTTGTTTTATTTCATTTTCCAAATGGTCACAGAGATAGGGACTTGGAGCAATTTGAAAAGACCATTCAGATCCCAAAACACAGAGAGAACTGACCGTACAGATTCCAACTGACTGCAGGATAATAACTAACACACACACACACAAAACTCAATATTAGGAAATCAATAAGAATCCTCAGACACTCTGCACCTTCCAGATAATTACACCTCACCTTCTCATATTCAGGAATAAGCCATCAACAAAACTCAGCCTGGAAATCAGAAGGGAAATGCTTCCCATAAACACACTCAATATCCAACACACAGCTCCAGTCAAACAGTTCAGCACAAAGCACTGAGTAAACAGCTCTCTCAGCTGAATCTTCTCACACAGCATAAGGGACATTTCCACCTCTGATTGCCCACAGGATAGTCAGACTGCCTGAAGGTTGGTGTGGATATTATGGGATACAATTTGTATAAAAGCTGCTCCTTCACTCACCATCTCCTCACTTGGTTTTCAGTCCCTATAGGAAGTGAACCCGCTCTGGAAGAGGAAGAGGAGAGAATGGGCAGAGTGGGTGGGCTCTCTGATTGACGTCTCTCAGAGTCAATCCAAATATTTCTGCAGCTACATGAGTTTCCCGAAGCTTGGGAAACTGACCGGTGAAATGGAGGTGACTTTGAGCAGCAGATCAGGTGGGGATTTAAATTTGTCATTGTCCCATCTGAATAAAACCTCACTTATTGCAGCTGCTGTCTCAGTTCCCCTGGGAAATGTTTGACAGAGATTTATAGTGTGGGAATAGTATTCTTCATCTCAGAGGCTTTCAAACTGACACAATCAGTGTGGGATGTGCAGCCTCGGATGTGTTTAACATGAGATCAGGAAAAGACCCACAGTGTCCAAGGCAGTGATGATGTGCAGTGGTGGGATCAGCACATGCAGAAGAGGGAGTACACAGCACACGGGACATGAGTGATTCGACAGGAAGTTACCCTGCTCAGAGCATTCTCTGTGTTTGGGCAGTGATTACGACTCAGAGATTCAGTCTGTGGATGCAGGGGGAGGAGTAACCTGGGGAGTGATCGCTTACTTCTCACCAGATTTCTCTGCTGGTCTCTGGCCCCTCATCCGACCCTTGACCCTGTGTCTGAGACAAGCAAGGGAAGTTGGCGATGGAATGGTAATTTGCAACGAATGAAGGGTCAAGGGTTACATTTTAAAAGAGGAGAATGAGAACTGCAGATTTAAAGAAGAGGGACAATATTTGAAGAAAAAATTACTGTGAACAGTATCGCTGAACATGGGGACCAGGAGGGAAGTGGGATTGGCACTTTAGTAAGAATAAGGTGGAGGGAACAGAAGGTGGGACACATCACCAAGATGAGCTCAGAGAGCGCAAGACGGGAGAAAGGAGAAAGATAAGCATTCAGGGCTAGGGGCAGGGATCTATTCATGGAGTTTTGTCCATGCAGGCTAGTGAAAGGGAGGGAAGTGGCAGAGACAGCTGATGGGATTAGTTTAATCTTATTTCCTCACACAGAGAGATCAATAAGCTGGGGGAAGAGATTTAAGTCATTGGTGGAAGGATTCAAGCACAGTTGAGGATACACACTGAAGGATTTTCTGAGAGTAGAGAGCTTTTCTGGAGTACGGATCTCCTGTCACAGTGGGTTTGAGGCTTTTTGGTTTTTGCTTGATGTGGGGATCTTCTATCAGTATCTAGTCTGTAGCTTGTTCCTCACTCCTAGAGTCTACCCACTGTTCTCCATCTGTTTCACTCCTCCTAACACCAGCGACTTTGTCACCTTTCACAGCTGCAGGAACCCAGACACCAAGACAACACAGCCACCTGCAGCTCTAACCTGTTACCACTTTAAACCGAATCAAACTTTCTGAAGAAGAGTCTGGGCCCGAAACATCAGCCTTCCTGCTCCTCTGATGCTGCTTGGCCTGCTGTGTTCATCCAGCTCTACACCTTGTTATCTCAGATTCTCCAGCATCTGCAGTTCCTACTATCTCTCAAACTTTCAGGCTGCTGGTTTACAGGGGGAATCATGTTCTGCACATGGTCTTGGGACTTAGCTCCTGAGAAATTGATTCTGATACAATTCTGAAACATTATAAGTTATTTTCAGTCATTGCTGAGTTAGTACTGTCATCTCTGAGACTTGAACATTGAGTTTGACATCCCCATGCAGTACTGAAGGAGCTTGCACTGTCAGAGGTACCCTTTTTTTTAGAAATGGTGAAAACACAGTCCCATCTGCCCTTCCAGGTGAATGTAAGAGATCCCATGACACTACATTGCAGAACAGTAGTGAGTTATCACTGGTGTCCCAGGTAATATGGATTCCACAATCCATGTCATGAAAAGAGACCATCTGATCATTATCACAGTGTTATATGTGGGAGCATGCTCTGCACAAATTGGTTGCCATGTTTTCAAAATCATGAGACTTCAAAAAACACTTCCTGGATTGTACAGCACTGTTCAATGTCCTGAGTTTCTGAAAAGTTGATAAATAAATGCAAATCAATTTTTTTTGGGGTGGAGGGGAAATGTTCTGCTTCCTGTGAAATGGAAATTATTAACCTGTAATTATCAAGCCATCTCACAGTGACAATGACCAATACAGTGTGACAGGACTCTTACTTTTGGATCCTGAGTGTCTCAGTGAACAGGAACACTTCATGCTGACTTACTCGCCATAGTAAGGATAGCAGTTCTCCCGTAAAGGACAGCAGAAACATTGTCCATGATATGAGTCAAATATCTTCTCCTGCCCCATCTGACCCTCCCCTTCCCTTCCCTATCTGCCCCTATTCCCCCACATCCAATCCTCTTACCACCCCGCTCCCCTCCAAATGTGGCCTCCTCCCCCTCCAAACCTGCACTCTTTTACCCTGTCCAGTCCTCACCTCCTCGATCCCCAAGTCTGATCTCTCTGAGGCCCAGGCCATCTCGTCCCCCATCCCAACGTCTGCTCTCCCTGAGGCCTGGGCCCTACCCTCTACGAGCCACTGAAAGCTACAAAATCATGAAGTGAATTCCTGAGCAGCAGCACCCCGCTCCCGCCCCCGCCCCCGGTCCCCGACCATGGTGGGTGGGGAGACGGTGCAGTGCGGTACAGATGCAGGAGCAGAATAAGTTCAGTGGGGGAGGGTCTGGTTGCATGAGATGACCATGTTCCAAGCTCCTGGTTAAAGAATGGCAGCTCCTGGAAATTGTTTGCAAGAGTCACCAGTGCAGCATGTCACTGTCAAGACTGTTCATCTGGAGGAAGGAAGATGTCAACAGGTACTAGCATCAGGCAGCAGGCTCGATGGAAATGGGGTTCAAACAGGGGAAGCTTTTGCTGGAGAGTGAAGGCTCACCCAGTCCGGATTGTCTTCCCTACGTTGATGACTCAGAACTTCTGCCGTGACCCAATGCAGCATTTTGTCCCACATGTGAGGGACAAACTTCCTCTGGATCTCTGTAAAAAAACTCTGGAGGAGAGATCAAAGTGACCAGCCAAGACCACTTGATGGTGGAGGGCACTAGGTTTCTGAGCAGTTCTCCAAGGCTGTGGGATTGCATCAGGAGAGATCCTGTCCAGCCACCTCACCAAGTCGGCACCTTTTCCTCCAGCTCCTGCCAGTTTGCCAGCCAGGGCACCTCACCAGTCTTGAGTCAGACTCCACAGGTATAGAGATAGTAGGGACTCCTATACCTATAGTGGCAATGGGTTACCCCGCCACTGACTGATCAGGAAACCAAAACATTTTCCCCAGTTGGTCTTGGTGGATGACTTGCAGAGAACATCCATTACACTTGGTGGCTCCACACTAAGGCAATATGAATGGACAGTGAAGTGACAGCCATGAAACATTGCAGTCCCAAAGTGAAGGGACAGAACTGACACACTCCAGTCCCAATAGGAAAGGACAGACTGACACATTCTAATCCCAATGAGAAAGGGCATCACTGACACACGCCAGTCCCATTAAGAAAGGGCATCACTGACACACTAATGGGAAAGGACAGCACTGACACATTCCAATCCCAGGTACAGCGTAGGCCCATTCAGGTATCCAACCCTCTCAGTGCCTCAAAATGAATGTAATTAGTTTCCTGCATAAGTCGAAAATGTCTTTGTCTTTTATGTGCAACTGTAGATAAGCTCCAAGAAATGTCAAAATTCCAATATTTTGTTTGTTTGCTTTTTATCTGCACCGCATTTAAATATGATTTAGAACATTTATTGATGATTTGATAATTTGTACGTATTGATGACTTTTATGAATAAAGTTTCCAAATACATTTGTAAATAGGTTCCTTTCATGATTAGAAAATGCTTTTTGTTGATTGGATTGAACTGTAACAAGGAATTTCAAAGTTTCCACTATATTTTCTGTAAGTCTGAATGGATCTGTGGTGTACTTATGTTGTATTTACAGATAATTTATGAATAAAGTACATTTTTGAGATTAAAAATATACATAAATACCTTAATGGAAGCCCATTTCTCATTTGATTATTAATTTTTTGATGTCTTTCATTATAATTCGACCAAGGATCATTCATTACTTCTACAGTCATCTGTTTTATGTCTGTCCACTATTTAATGCAGCAAGTTGCTAAATTCATGCCATTAACACAGAATCCAAAACGGCTTCTTCAGCCACATCATGTTAAAATACCTCCCTTAATATTGTTAGTTATTAACGTGATTGCAATATCAAAATGATTAACTTGAAAAAAACATAACTACCCCAGGTCCTCCTATGTGTCACACAAGAAGGTTTGGTTTATCTGACATTCCAGAAGTTTGGTTGACTGCGTGAGGGCTTTATTACAGAAAACACACCAGTACAGTTTCACCCGTGTGAGTACATTGATGGAGCAGGAGATTGGTGAATTGTGTAAAAGTCGAGTCACATGTACCTCCCCACTGAAGAGTTTCTTCCCTGTGTAAATCCTCTGGTGTTCCAGGAGGATCAATGGCATCGCAAAACTTTTATCAGAAACTTTGTCCCTGAACGGTTACTTCCCAGTGTAGGTCCTCTGATGGAGCAGGAAGTATGAAGGTCTCCAGAATGATTTGTTATAAACCTTACATGTGATCAGGACTGTGAGCAGTTCAGTTCCCCTTATTGAAGAAATGATATAATTTCATTGGAGTTCGGAGAAGGTTCACTTGGGTGATCCCTGGTATGGAGGGATTGTCTTATGAGCAAAGGCTAAACAGGTAGGGACTCTGCTCACTGGAGTTTAGACTAATGAGGGGTGATCTCACTGAAACATATAAGATTCTCAAGGGGCTTAACAGGGTAAATGTTCAGAGGTTGTTTCCCCTCATGGGAGGATTGAGGACCAGAGTGCCTAGCCTCAGAATTAATGGGTGCCAATTTAAGGGTGAGATGAGGAGGAATTTCTTTTCTCAGAGGGTTGTGAGTATTTGGAACTCCTTGCCACAGAGAACTGCAGGGGGACACAGTCCTTGTGTATATTTAAGGCTGAAAGAAATAGATTCTTTATTAGTAGGGGAATCAAGAGTTAGGGGAAAAATACAGGGAAGTCGATGTGGGAATTGTCAGATCAACCATAATCCTACTGAATGGCAAAGCAGGCTTGAGGGGTGAATGGCCTACTCCTATTCGTATTTCTTGAGCCCTGTGTGAACCTGATAATGCAGATTTAAAAATGATTTCTTGCTCACACCACACTCAAATGGTTTCTCACCTGTTTGAATGCATGGAAATTGTTTCTCGGTTTCATTGGTGTGAATCCGCGGATGTACATGGAGAGTCAATGACTGTGAGAATGATTGATCGCACAGCTCACAAGTGTGTAGTTTGTCCCTTGTGTGAACACATTGGTGTGTCCGGAAGTCTGACGACCATGAAAATGATTTGTTACACACCTTACATGTGAACGGTTTCTCCCCTGTGTAAATGCTCCAGTGTGTCAGCATTCTGTGTGATTCTGCAAATCCCTTGGTGTGCACTTTACACCTGAACAGATTCTCCCCACAGTGAAATTGCTGATGTCGATGACCCCGTTAACAGTTGATCACACACCTCAACATTGAATACTCTGTCTGTTGCTGTGCTAGTGTTACAGATGGAACAGGAGATGCACTTTTTGAATGGTTGAGGGATTTTATAAGACTCTAGTGCCCCCTACACACACCTCACACTTGAACAGCCTCTCCCCTGTGGGAATGAATCAGTAGTTCATAAGGTCTGATGAATGACTGAAGTTCTCACCACACTTGGAGCCCACTCACACTTCTTCACAACCTCACCCAGATTGATCACACACAACCGATCATTTATAAAGAGATAACAAGGTGTGGAGCTGGATGAACACAGCAGGCCAAGCAGCATCAAAGGAGCAGGAAGGCTGACGTTTCGGGCCTAGACCCATTTATAAATGTTGGTTCTGATGGAAGGCTCTACACCACTGACCAGTTTCAGATCTGATGATATGTCAAAGCTTCCCTGACCTGACCAATTTCCAGATGATTGTTTCACTGCCTGACTTTCTCTGTCTGCAGTGTCTATCCAGTTTGTATTCTCAGTGTGAAAGGCTCTGAAGATGAAGAATGCTATTCCTACATTGGAAATCTCTGTCAAACCAGGGGAGCTGAGACAGCAGCTGCAATAAGTGAGGTTTTATTCAGATGAGGCAATGACAAGTTTAAATCCCCACCTGATCTGCTGCTCAAAGTCACCTCCATTTCAGTTTCCCAAGCTTCAGGAAACTCATGTTGCTGCAGAAATATTTGGATTGACTGTGAGAGACGTCAATCAGAGAGACCACCCACTCTGCCCATTCTCTCCTCTTCCTCTTCCAGAGCTGGTTCACTTCCGAAAGGGAACTGAAAACCAAGTGAGGAGATGGTGAGTGAAAGAGCAGCTTTTATACAAATTGTATCCCATAATATCCACACCAATCTTCAGGCAGTTTGACTATCCTGTGGGCAATCAGGGGTGGAAATGCTGTGTGAGAAGATCCAGTTGAGAGAGCTGTTTACTCAATGCTTTGTGCTGAACTGTTTGACTGGAGCTGTGTGTTGGATATTGAGTGTGTTTATTGGAAGCATTTCCTTTCTGATTTCCAGACTGAGTTTTGTTGTTGTCTCATTCCTGAATATGAGAAGGTGAGGTGTAATTATCTGGAAGGTACAGAGTGTCTGAGCATTTTTACTGATTTCCTAATATTGACGTGTGTGTGTGTTGGGAGCTGGTTATTATTCTGGGGTCAGTTGGGATTGGAATGGTCAGTTCTCTCTGTGTTTTGGGATCTGAATGTTCCATGTATTCCCAAACAAAGATTTGCATTGATGCAAAGCCTTTCACGTTCTCAAATTTCCTATCTCGGAGAAATCAAACGGAGGGTTGTTTGACATCTCCTCTGAAAGACGCTCTTGTGACATCAAATGAAAACCGAAAGAACTGCGGATGCTGTAAATCAGGAACAAAAACAGAAGTTTCGGGTCCGGTGACTCTTCCTTAGAAGTGTCTTAGGAAGGGTCACTGGACCCCAAACGTTAACTCTTGATTTCTCTTCACAGATGCTGCCAGACCTGCTGAACTTTTCCAGCAAATTCTGGTTTCGCTCTTGTGATATAGTTGCTCTGTCTCACTGTTGCCGGGCTAGTCTGTGATAATGTTTGATTCTCTGAAGGGTTCTCCATTATTATCCCTGGCCCTCGCTGTCATTTCCCGATATTGGTCAGCATCAGGCACACCGGGTGCAGGAAGTGGTGCAAAATCCAATTACTGTACAGGAGAGACGAGCAATGCTCAGCCTCAGCTTATCTGGTGCTGAACCCCTCATACCTACTTTTATAGGCTTGACTCAACTATTCCAATGCTTCCTGGCTGCTCTCACATTTTGCATTCTAAACCTGACCTCCTCAAAAACTCAGCTGCCCAGGTCCTAAGTGACACCAAGCCCCATTCCCAACCACCCCTGTGCTTGTTGATCTGCACTGGCTCCTGGTCAAACAGTACCTTGATTTTAAAATCCTCATCCTTTTTTGTGAATCCCTCCATGGCCTCGACTCTCTTTGTAATATTTGAAGCAATTCAGCTACTGTACCTGGAGACTCATTTGTTGGAATATCTTTTAATGCCAGTTTTAAAGATCTTAGCCTGTAAGCCTCAGCCTTTCCCAAAAGCCTGGGCTTGGATTTGGTAGTTTTGCCCAGTGCTGTGGCTGATATCTGAACTTGGGATGTGCTCTGTTTTGTCTATCTTGGATTCTGGATGTTGCCTGTGTTTTCAAATTTCCTTCCAAGTCCTCGTACTATCTCCACATTCCCCTCCCTACATACATCTCTGTAACGTCTTCAATTAATTAAAAGACCAACTTGCATTTTGGTCAAGACCTTGACAACCAGTAGATTTCCCGAAGCACTTTATAGCTAATGAAGTTTTTTGAAGTGTGCTCACTGTTGTAATAGAGGAAATTTGGCAGGCAACAAGTGCATGACAAGATCCCACAACAGCACTGTGATAGTGACCAGATAATATGTTTTTATTGATATTAATTGAAGAACTATTCTGGATTGCATACAGATCGATAAAATTTAAATGAGGTTTCAATTCCCAGTGACCAACTTAAAGAAATTGCAGAGATTTCAATGTTTAAGACCTTTATTTAAACAAACAAATACAAAGCAATATTGGCCAAGCCATAAACCATAAGAACTGCAGATGCTGGTTATCAGAAACAAAAACAGAATTTGCTGAAAAAACACTCAGCAGGCCTGGCAGCATCTGTGGAGGGAAAGGAGAGTTTCAGGTCCAAAGACCTTTTCTTCAGAATGATGGCAGCTCGGAAAGTGTTGATATTTGTGCAGAAGATGGGGTGGGGGAGGAAGAGGAATAAATAATGGGTAGAGATAGAACCATTGACTAAGCCGTACCTAGTTGGCGACTGTTCCATTGCACTCCAGAAAGGTTACAGCCCTTTAACTTCTGACATGACTGAACACTCCACATCATTGTGATACTTTATGATACATGATCTGTAGAATCAGTTTTTATAATAACCGTTCAAACATCACCCTCAGCTTCCAATGGGGTCACTTCTTTCTGTCTCACTGGATCGTAAACATCCAGTCACCATAAGAATCCATTTCTTTAAGTTTTCCAAGAAGTTGTGAGGTGACTGCCAACACTAAGCTCCATCCAGTGATTCCACAAATCTTCCAGATGTTCGAACAGAGACTATGTCTTTCCACACTTTGCCTGGCAGCCTATAGAAAGGACACCCTCTCTTCTCCAGTGACCACACTGGCTACAGTCATTGGTCTGTCGCTGTCTCTTACCTGACTCTCTGTCTCTATTTGCCCACAATCTCAGACATGGGCAGTTTGTTCAGCCAGCCCTGGCCACTCTTGCCTTTGTTCTCAGATGTGAAACCTTTCTCAGTGAGTTCCAAGCTGTTGTCATTGGTAACTTGTTTTGTCCCCAGACAATCTCTTAGCAACCCAGTATCTCTGACGTATTGTTTTCCATAATTTAAAAAGACAGTAGGCAACATAACAATCTTATAAACTTCACATTCATTCTTAACTCCTGGTGGGGAGAATGGAGTTGTCTGGAGGGGATCTCTCCCAGCTCCTCAGGACTAAGCCAGGATTGATCATCCTTTCAATATTTTTGATTGAAGACACTTAAACACTGTGTTCCACTCATATGCTGGGCTCTAACATTTTGTGAATTAAGCCATCCTCTCCCGTTACTGACTAGTTGTATACAATTATCAACAAGGTGTGGTAGGATGACAGAGCTTTGCTCTAACCTTTGGTTGTGTGCTGAATAGCTCTGTTTATTACCATGTAGCCCTCTGTGTTACGTTCAAACATAGACTTGAATGCATCACCAATGCTGCTCCTGACTCGTCTACTTATTGGTTTGATAATAGTGATGGAATGAGGGCTGTGCTGGGCTGTTCGACCCTGCTGCTGCTGATGGCTCACTGCACTTCATGGGCAATCAATTTTGGGATCTGTCCATAGTCTCCATTCAGAAAGTAAGGAGGCACGGGATTCAGGGAAATTTGGCTGTCTGGATACAAAACTGGCTGTCCAATAGAAGACAGAGGGTGGTAGTAGATGGAAAGTATTCAGCCTGGAACTCAGTGACCAGTGGTGTTTCGCAGGGATCTGTTCTGGGACCTCTGCTCTTTGTGATCTTTATAAGACTTGGATGAGGAAGTGGAAGGGTGGGTTAGTAAGTTTGCTGATGACACGAAGGTTGGTGGAGTTGTGGACAGCTTGGCGGGCTGTTGAACGTTGCAACAGTACATTGACAGGATACAGAGCTGGACAAAGAAGTGGCAGATGGAATTCAACCCGAAAAGTGTGAAGTGATTCATTTTGAAAGGTCGAATTTGAATACAGGGTTAATGGCAGGGTTCTCGGCAGTGTGGAGGAACAGAGGGATCTTGGGGTCCACGTCCATAGATCCCTCAAACTTGCTGCCCAAGTTGATAGGGTTGTAAAGAAGGCGTATGATGTGTTTGCTTTCATTGGCAGGGGAATTGAGTTTAAGAGCCGTGAGGTTATGCTGCAGCTTGGTAACACTCTGGTTAGACCACACTTGGAATATTGTGTTCAGTTCTAGTCACCTCATAATAGGAGATATGTGGAAGCTTTAGAGAGGGTGCAGAGGAGATTTACCAGGATACTGCCTGGACTGGGGGGCAGGTCTTATGAGGAAAGGTTGAGGGATCTAGGGCTTTGTTCATTGGAGCGAAGAAGGGTGAGAGGTGACTTGATAAAGGTGTACAAGATGATGAGATAGAGTGGATAGTCAGAGAATTTTTCCCAGGGTGGAAATGACTATTATGAGGGGGCATAATTTTAAGGTGACTGGAGGAAGGTATAGGGGAGATGTCAGAGGTAGGTTCTTCACACAGAGAGTGGTGAGTGTGTGGAATGCGCTGCCGGCAGTGGTAGTGGAGTCTGATACTTTAGAGACTTTTAAGTGACTCTTGGATAGGCACATGGAGGATAGTAAAATGTAGGATATGCATGGTAGATTGATCTTAGTAGGATAATAGGTCGGCACAACATCATGGACTGAAGGGCCTGTACTGTGCTGTACTGTTCTATGTTCTATGTTCTATGTTCTATTTCCCCAGTGATGGTTATGTACCCATTCATCAGTTGGAAGGGGAGTAGTAATTTTTCATGAAGACCTGACACTCCCTGGAGTCCATGTTAAGGGTTTCCCACCAGCCAGTAGGATTAGACATTCCCAGAGACGTTGATGGAGGAGTCTTGGATGTTTCCAGATTGACATGATTCAGTGATTATCACTGCTACTTGACTGATCTGTGGGAAGCTCTCCTTCACTTGGGAACTTGTCCTCAGACCTTGGAAGGCAGATTTCACAGATTTCACTGGACTAAGATCAGCGTCATCTCGTTCTTACAGAATGCCCGGATTATTCAGGTCTCTTTAATTTTCCTCTTATTTTGGACTTTGTAGTTATTGTTTATCATTGTGTGCACAGTCACTTCAGAGGCTGCTTCAGAGTCAGCCATATTGTGTGGGGCTGGAGTCACATGTAGATTAGACAAGGCAGTTGTAGCAGGTTCCTTTCCCTGAAGGACAATACCTGGGTTTTTAGGATCAGCAATAAGTTTTTGTCTTTTTAGTTTGATCCAATTGCATAAATTCAGCACATTTTATTAAATTCCAGGATTTATTAAATTCGCCTTCACAACTTGGAGTGGTTCAGGTGAAGAGCAGAGATGCCTTTAAGGGGAAACTAGATAAACATATGAAGGAGAATGGAACAGAAGGATCGGCTGATAGAGTGAGATGAAGAGGGGTGAGAGGAAGCATGTACATTAGCATGCATCAATTGGGCCAAATTGCCTGTGACTTGTTGTAATTCAATGTACGTAATTTTCTGTGGTTGGATTTGAATTCTCGACCTCTGGATTCCTAATTCAGGGCCACAGCTATTCAGCTGCCACACCTGAAGACACATTTGTTGAATTGTCTTCTTGTGCCTTCTTTAAATATTTCACCTGAAGGCCTTTGTCTTTGCCAAAAGCCTGGGCTTGGATTTGTTAGTTCTGTCCAGTGCTGTGGCTGATAGTTGAATTTGGGATGTGCAGTCTGACTGAGTGCAGTATATCTAATTTCCTAGGATAAACCAGAACCCTTTGATCAGCTACGTTGAAGCAATATTTTCCTTAGAGTGCCTATTGTGTTTTTAGAATATAGAATACAGAACACAGAACAGTACAGCACAGGAACAGGGCCTTCGGCCCACCTTGTGTGCACCTACCATGATGGCATTCTATTCTTTAAACTCTTTTTTTACAAATCCCATCTGCCTGCAAATGGTCCGTATCCCTCTATTCTCTGCTTGTTTGTGTCTATCTAAATACCTGTTAAATGTTGCTATTGTATCTGCTTCTACAGTTTCCCCTGGTAGCATATTCCAGGCTTTTCTGAAATAATCTTGGAAAAGAAGGAAAAGACTTCTAAATCTCCATTGAATTCATATTTCTCCTGAATTTCTTTCTGTGATAAATACATACACTAAGGGTAAAAATATTCCTGACCAGCACGAGTTGAGCTCATAGTGAATTGATAGCCTATTTTTCACTCTGTCCAACTTTCTTTTCCATTGATGTCAATGTGCCTGGGAAGATGGGGGTCTTGCTGGAGGAAAGAAAGTAGCCACATTGTCTGCTCCTGGTCACTGTCCAATGTCCTCGCAGGAAACAGAGGAGGTGTGACAGTCAAATGAGGAAAAGATAAGGACTCATATCTGATTCCCCATAGCCCCTTCAGCAAAGAAGGAGAGGAAGTTGAAGGAAATCATTTTTCCTTTTCCTGTTTTACAGAAGGATTACTCCGTACTATGCCAGAGAATACACGGAGGATAGACACTGCAGGTAGATCCTGATCATTACCCAAGGAACAACTACATAATTGTGGGAAGACATCCAGATACTTCACAGCACTGGTCAACACAGAGAAGGTAGCACAGTGAAACCATTATCTTGAAACTGGTCAGGTCAGGGGTGCTTTGACATATCATCAGATCTGAAACTGGTCAGTGGTGTGGGGTGTTCCATCAGAAGCAGCCTTTCTGAATGTTTGGCTGTGGATGATTCGTCAAGATGAGGTTGAGAAGAAGTGTGACTGTCTCCAAGTGTGGTGAGAGCTTCAATCATTCATTGAACCTCATGAACACTGACTCATTCCTATAGGAGAGGGACTGTTCAAGTGTGAGGTATGTGAAGAGGGTTCCACAGTCTTTGTGGATACAAGTTCATAAGTGTGAACACAAGATCAGCATCATGGAAGAGAAAACCTTCAAGTGTGAGGTGTGTAGCCGAGCCTTTGCACACTCATCAACGCTGGTGAATCACAGACGCATTCACACTGGTGAGAGGCCATTCACATGTGAGGTGTGTAACCAGGGATTTGCACAGTCCTCAGGCCTGGTGAAACATCGGCGCATTCATACAGGGGAGAAACCATTCACGTGCAACGTGTGTGACAAATCATTCTCGCAGTCATCGAATCTTCGTGTGCACCAACACATTCACAGTGGGGAGAAACCGTTTATGTGTGAGGTGTGTAACAAGTCATTCTCTCGGTCATCACCCTTCCTCCTACACCAGTACATTCACACTGGAGAGAAACCATTCGTGTGCAGAGTGTGTGACAAGTCATTCCTGTCATCCTCAGATCTCCGCATACATCGACGCAGTCACACGGGAGAGAAGCCGTTCACATGCGAGGTGTGTGAGAAAGCATTCTCATCATCATCAGATCTCCGCAAGCACCAACGGGTTCACACTGGACTGAAAACTTTTACCTGTGAGGTGTGTGATAAATCCTTCTTGGAGTCATCGAACCTCCGCAAACATCAACGAATCCACAGAGGGGAGAAACCATTCAAGTGTAAGGTTTGTGACAAGTCATTCTCTCAGTCATCGAATCTCCTAGTCCACCAGAGAATTCACACAGGTCTGTAATACTTCACGTGGAGTAATACTTCACAGGGAGTAACCTTTTCGGTGTGTGGTTTGTGCTGAACGTTTGGTTGTGTTGTTGACCTTTCTGGGATACCAGAGGAAAAGCACAGTGGAGAAACTGTTCAATTGTGACATTTGTGAGAAAGCTTTCACCCACTCTTCTGATCTCTGAAGTGCTAGTTGATCCACGCTGGTGAGAAACTATTTCGGTGTGAGGAGTGTGACAAGACTTTGAGACAGTCAGTGTAATCCCTGGTCTTCCAGCGCACTGAGGGAAGGGAGAAACTCTGTTTGTAATGAAGTTCCTGGACCTCCTGCAACATCTGTGAATGCACTCTAGGATCTACCTAACCAAGTTATTGCCCAACTTGTCCTCAGTGTGTGAACCATGTACACAGTCTCACGGTGCAGGGTGTTCAGTGGGACTGGGACACAGAACAAGAAGCAGCTTTCACTCCCATCAAACACCTAGTGATGACATCACCAGTGCTGAGGGATTATGATGTCAACAATGGAGCCACCCTGCAGTGTGATGTCAGTGACACAGGACTTGGAGCAACCTCCATACAGTGAGGGCAACCCGTTGTGTTTGTATCCAGTTAACACAAACTGAACAATACTGTACCCCAGATTGAGAAAGAGAGTCTGACTATTATCTTTGTGTGTGAGCATTTTAACAAGTACCTGATTGGGAGAGGGAAGGTGATTGTGCAATCTGAATACAAGCCATTTCAAAACATTTTTTCAAACCACTTCTACCTCCTTCAAAGCATTTGCACAGGACATTGTTTCAGAGATAGTAGGAACTGCAGATGCTGGAGAATCTGAGATAACAAGGTGTAGAGCTGGATGAACACAGCAGGCCAAGCAGCATCAGAGGAGCAGGAAGGCTGATGTTTCGGGCCTAGACCATTCTTCAGAAATCTTCAGAAGATTTCTGAAGAGTGGTCTAGGCCCGAAACATCAGCCTTCCTGCTCGTCTGATGCTGCTTGGCCTGCTGTGTTCATCCAGCTCTACACCTTGTTATCTCTGTAACCTCAGATGTCTAGGCGTAACCCGAGAAGGGTGCGCCTGTCCAGCATTCACTGCTGAGGCAAATCAGCTGAGTATACAGATATCAGAAAATACTGGATCCTTACATGGGAAATCAGTAAGGATTTTAGATTGTTAATGATAAGCTTGTGGTTCAGTAGTATCAGCCACTTATCCCCCACTGGTCACGTTACAGTCTGACCCCAACAGAATAAACCCCACAGCCTAGGTTTAGCGGACAATTCCGATCCCAATACCAAGAGACTCAGTGATACATACTAATGTTTTCTGGTTTATCATCCAAACTGATCTATGTTTGCGGTAGAATGTGTCTTCCTGACAGTGGGGAAAGAGCCCTTTCAAAGTGTGGAAACCTCCTGGCTGTGTGTACAACAGAATATTTGAGATGAAATGTGAATATCACCACATGTCTTGTACTGAAAGAAAATGACCTGCCTTGCTGTTTACATAATGATCAATTTGAGCTGTTTTGGAAGGGACCTTTATAAATGTTGTGAACAAAATATACAGTGAGAATAAAGAGATGTTCCACAGTCATGTGATGGGTGGACACTCTTTTATGGAAAGAAGAGGAAAGTGCCAGACCTTGAGACCATTTGAAATATAGACAGAAGTCTGTCATTCAGCCACTTGAACTGGCTCTGCATTCCTTATGCCCGCTTTCCTGCTCTTCCTCCATAATCCTTAGTTCACCAACTGATCAAGAATCCATTTATCTCAACCTTAAATATGTACAAGGACTCTGCCCCCACAGCTCCTTGTGGCATGGAAGCACAGCCCTCTGAGAGAAGAAATTCATCCTTACCTCAGTGCATTTATATAGCATCTTTCATGACCACTGGATCTCTCAAAGTGTCTTCCAGCCAATGGTGTTCTTTGGCGGTTTAATCACTGTTGACATTGCTGTCCAGATCAGACTCCTATTTTTCATTTCCTCATAGATGTCACTGGAAAAAGAAGTATTTGTTTCCATTCTAATTTGTCCTCAACCACCTCAGAGGGTGGTTACACGCAACTACATTACTGTGGGACCAAAGACACGTGTCGGCCTGAACAGGTTAGAATGGCAAATTTCCATGCCACAAGGGTATCAGTGAACCAGATGCCTTTTCACCATTCTCAGTATTACTGTGACTAGTTTTGTATTTCAAATGTAGTCATTGAATTCTAATTCCACTAGTTGTTATGGTGGGATTTAAATCCACATCACCCGAATAGGAGCCTGGCTGTCTGACCCACTGGTGCAGTGATATTATCACTACATCACGGTCCTATCCTATTGTAGGTTTCCTGCTTCTGCTTTAAATGTGACGACTTTACAAGTTCAAACTGTGGCCAGACAGAATTAGTGTCATTACCCATATGGTCATCCAATGCCTTGTGTACCATCACTGGGTTACCATTAAACAGAGACTGAACTGGACGCCCCACATAATCACAGTGGCTATAATAGCAGGCCAGACGTCAGGAATACTACACTGGGTAACTTACTTTCTGACTCCCCAAAGCCTGTCCACCTTTCACAAGCCAGGAATGTGATGCAATATACCCCATTTGCTTTGATGAGTACAGCTCCAAGCTTGACACCATCCAGGACAAGGCATCTCACTTGATTGGCACCACATCCACTAACATTCAGTCCCTCCAACACTGATGCTTAGTATGTGTGCACTCTCTACAACATGCACTGCAGTAACTTGCCAAATATCCTGAGACAGCACCTTCCAAACCACTTCTATCTAAAAGGACAAGAGCAGCAGATACATAGGAATGCCACCATCTGCAGGTTGCCCCTCAACTGCCGCTGGGTCAAAATCCTGGAATTCCTTTGCCAAATGCATTGTGGATCTACCTCCAGCACATGGACTGCAATGCTTCAAGAAGGCAGCTCACCACCACCTTCTCAAGAGCACTTAGAGATGGGCAATAAATACTGGCTCACATCCCACAAGTGAAACAACCAGCAGCACAATCCTCATCCAATCACTCTATTCTGATTGTGCCACATCTGCAGAGGAGCCTCAGAAATGACTACCTTTTCTTCAGCCAAGGATAAAATTCCCAGTTAGCCTGGTTGAAGGGGCTCTTAGCCATGTCCGACCTATTTCCTGCACTTCTGCCCTTAGCTCTTCTCTTCCCTTCTACGACACCGACAGAGATCCCCGATCCCCTCTTTCCATCCCACCAGCATCTAAAGGATCATTAGCTGCCATTTCAACCACCTCCAGCGAGATGCCACCACTAAGCATAGATTCCCCTTCCCTCCCTTGTCAGCCTTCTGCAGCTATTGTTCTCTGTGGGACACACTGATCCACTTCCTCTCAGTCCCAACACCCCCTCACACTCCCACGGCACCTTCCCGTACAATTACAGAATGTGTAACATTTACCAATTAATCTCCTCCCTCCTCAGTATTCAAGACCGCAGACACACCTTCCAGGTGAAGCAGCGATTTACCCGCACTTCACTTAATCTAATCTACCTTATTCGCTGCTCACAAAGTAGTTTCCCTCTAAACTGGGGAGATGAAGTACGGACTGGGTGATGACTTTGCAGAACACCTATGTTCTGATGGCAAAATGACCCTAAGCTTCCAATTGCCTGCCACTTCAACACATACCGTGTTGCATGAACACATCTCTGTCTTGGGCTTTCTGCAGTACTCCAGCAAAGGTCAGCACAGGCTGGAAGAATACATCTTATTTTCCATTTGGGGACCTTGCAGCCTTTGGATTCTATCAATTTCAATAATTTTAGTGCCTGAACACCTCTATCCATGACCTTTACCCATCCCCACATCCCAGGCCCTGTCATTTTATGAGCTGATTTCATCATAGAAAACGCATTTTCTCATTTTTGTATAAATTTTCACCTATTCATTGTCCCCATGATCAGCTTTCTCCTTCCCTTGCTTACTGTCAGCCCCCTCTTCATCTGACTAACTCTCTTTCGCTCTCCTATCCAATCACACTGTCTGCCCCACCCCCTGTTATTTGCATAGATACCATCTTTTCCTTGCTACTATCAGTTCTGAAGTAGGGTCGCTGGACCTGAAACATTAGCTGCAGCTTTTCTTCACAGACTAGCAGAGTTTCTCCAGCAATTTGGGTTTTCGTTTTGATCTTAATCTTCAACAGTTCTTTACTTCATTTTCCCAAAATAATTAGGAGAGATGGGTAGGAGTGAGAGGATGCTGGGAAATGAGCTTCCACCTTCTTGGGAGGAGATCAGGAGATTCCCCTCCATCAGCCCAAGGGAAGAACAAAGACAAAGACACCACTTCAATCCCAGCATACCAGCCCCTCCATTCTACAGAAACATTCAGGGTCAGTGAAGCATTCTCATCTGTCAAGGTTGTATATTTTCTTTGGCCGAGTAGCTGATAAATTGTATGTAAACTGCTCCTCTTAACAAACTCCATAAACAATCATACTTTTGCCAGAAATAATCGACTGCCTGTAATTGGTAACTGTGATCGCAAGTTCTCCCCAAAATCAACAAGAGTTCACAACAACCATGTACCAGTTCTATGAGGCCAGTTGACCATGGGACTGAAGTCATACAGCTTTTGCTGAAGCTAAAACAGTAAACATAGAATTAAATGCATAGGGCAGGTCTGGTGGGACAGTGGGGTAGTGTCACTACCTCTGAGTCAGAAACTCCATATTGGAGTCTCACTCCAGGACTTGTTGGTCACAGAATGTGTCCTTAGTTTAAAAAAAAATTATTTGTGGGATTTGGGCATTGCTGGCTGGCCAACATTTACTGCACATTCCTAGTTGCCCTTGAGAAGGTGGTGGTGAGGTGCCTTCTTGAACTGCTGCAGTCCACTAGCTGTGGGTTGACCCACAATGCAACTGTGGAGGGAATTCCAGGA